TCCCTTTGAAGGTGGCTGCTCAGCATGTGGGGTCAGCTCCCCTCTTGACCTGAAGGTGTCCCCAGGCACCAGCTAGACATCCTTCCTGCCTTGGGCTGCAGTGAGTTGGAAAGCCTCGGCCTCCCCTTTGCTGGAGGGAATTCTCTCCTGAGCTCTCTGCCGTGCCAGCGCATGCACTCTCCTTTGGATGCCTACGTAATGAAGATAGAGATGTGGTCTCATTCCAGAACAGGATGGATTTTGTTACTGTCAAGCGTGTAACATCTCCCACTGCGGCAAAGTCTATGCAGCTCTGCTTGCAGCCCATCATGCGAGATCCAAGATCAGGGTTCCCCGAGCTCAAGGCTCCCTGGCTGGGATGCAAAAGCCCAGGAGCATCAGGTCTGCTGTCAGCCTCTGTGCAACTGACCTCATGCACTAGGGTCAGACTCTACATGTTTGGAAACATTTCTCTAAATTTAGCCTCAGCACTGCCAATATTCTCATCTTTCTCAGCTCTCTTGAGGTCCTTTTGAGTTATCAATACTAGGAATAAATTTTATATGATTTTTTTTTTGGTGGTACTAGGGATCGAACTCAGGACCTTGTGCTTGCCAGGCAAGCACTTATTCCACTGAGCTATCTCCCTGGCCCAAGAATAAATTTTAAGGAGAGATAAAATATAATAAAATAAAATTGTATCGTGAAGAAGCAACTCATGAAGAAGGAACCTGTTAGACATCACAACTCATTCAGAAAGAGATTAAAGACAAATGTATATGGAGTAAAGACATCCTTAAATCTATGTAAAAATGGATAAAGCCAATGTTTTCCATAGGAAGACACTGAATAAGGGTGATGTTTATTAAATAGAGTCTTCATTCTGGTAAGAACTATTTGCATAGCCGTCAGTTTTCCACAGCACAGAGCTGAAAAATGACTCCGAGACAAGCAAAGGCACAAGAACCATAGAAATAGGTAACCTAGAAAGATTTGCTGTAAACAATACATGGTTTTCCTATTACATATAGTAATCTTGTTTCCATTAAACACACACACACACACACACACACACACACATAATTACTACAAGAATCTTTCCAAGGTTGTTGGTCAAATATGGGAAAAGCCAAAAGAGGACTGAATGAGATTTCAAAAAAAGAACGCTGGATACATAAACATAAAAAAAAGATATTGGCCATTTCCAATCTTCTGACTTGGGAATGTGATCCGACTTAGAATATTTGCTCACACCCTGTTGAGAAAGTTCTAAGCGATGACACAGATTCCATCTGTTCCCCGTACTGACCACTAGGTGGCGCTAAGCAGGCGCGAGGCGCTCTGGCAGGATAGGGAGGGGCCACGGTGTTCACGGATTACCTACCAACTGACTGACACATCTGGCAAATTTTGTGGTGGCAAAACAAGTTTTAATCCTGTAATTATGCCATAGTAAAGACAGATTTATATGGAGGGAAGCAGGGGTTACTTTTCCTCTGTGGGCGTTAGCAACAAACCCATAGCGTATGATATTTCTGTGTAAAGGTTCTTGAAAGCCTTCTGATCATATTAGGATGAAGGCAGAAAACATACCAGATAAGAAGTCAGTTGGATGGTTAAACAAAAAGAGATGATTGTGCCGGGTGTGGTGGCGCACACCTGGTGGTGCACACTCAGGAGGCTGAGGCAGGAGGATTGCTGTGAGTTCGAGGTCAACCTGAGCGACATGGCAAGACCCTGTCTCACAAAACACAAAACACAAAAAACAAAACCCACCCTACACCAGCCACAAAGAGAGGATAAACCTCGCTATGAGAGGGCACTACGGTAGAGCTATGAACAGTGGCCTCCGCTGCTTGTATAGCTTAGCAAAAGAAGTGCTTCAGGTCAAACACAACAACTCACGCCTTGGAGCTGTCTTGCTCAGGTGCCGTCAACGTTGCCCACTCCATCCCATAGGTTTTACTTCCTTCTAGTTAATTTCAGGGCAAGGAGAAATGGGTAGCAGGCCATCGATCATTTTATGTCATCTGTATTAGTGTAAAGTGAAAGAGCAGTGGTGAGTGCTGATTGGAAAACAGCTGGAAGGAAGAAAGACAGCGTATTGGTAGGTGCTCAGAGGACCTCAAGAACAGAACTTCTTCCTCCCCTAACTTCCCCAGCTCCTTAGATGTCTTTGCAGAAGGTTATTGCTTACCCAGGGAACTTTGGCTCCACTGCTTCTGCTACTTGACAGTATCCGGACATTACTTTGGGGGCGACCCTTCTCCCAAGAACCTGGTCTGCTGAGGCTGTCAGTTCCCATGCTGCACCTGCGGATACCTGAGAGGCCTAATCAGGCCTCCAGGCTTGAAAGGGGGCATCAGGCCTGAACACCACAGGAGTATTTTCATCATGGCGCCTGTGAGAGGTCATCTCTTAGTTCTTGCTTTCTGGAACCCCACAGCTGCCCTGGTTCCTGTCCTTCAAAGAGCCAGCCTTCCTTTTTCCTTGAAGCCACAAACTACTCTGTTGTCTTCTGGAAAATCCCTATTTGCCTGTATTGGCTAGGTTGGTCTCTGTTGATTGACTCATTCTGTTGATGTCATCACTTGGAGAACACTGACTGGCGTAAGGAGGAAAAGGAACTAGTCAGAAACCCAGCTGTATCACTGTTTCTGTCTGAAGTCTCCATGGAAAGAGAAGGATTAGCCCGAGGATAAGGGAAACTTGCTTTGAAAATGAAGAATAACCAACATTTATAGTCTCTGGACACAGGTCTAAATTTGTATTCTCTTGTCTAATCTTCAAAAAGACCCCATGAAATAGGTGCAATCATCTCTGCTTAAAAGATGAGAAAATTGAGACATGGAGTAATTAAATAACACCACGGTCATGGGATCAGATTAATAGTTCTTAAAAGTTTATTTCTGAAAAAAAAAGAGTTTATTGCCAAACATGATGCACATACCTGAAGTCCCAGCACTTGGGAAGCTGAGGCAGGAGGATAGCCATAAGTTTGAGGTCAGTCTGGGCTACATAGTGAATTAAAGGGCGGCCGAAGTGCGTAGTGAGACCTTGTTTCAAAAAAGTAAAAAAAATATTTTTTATGATATGTAACCTGGTGCCAAGGCCTTGGGTTTGATTCCCAGGGTCGAAAACACAGAAAAAGTTTATCCTATAGAATATCAAATTTTTAAAAATTATACTAGTTTTCTAGGGTCTGTTAAAACAAAGCACTACAAACTGGAAGGTTTTAAGATAACAAATTTATTTTCTCGCTGTCCTGCCAGCTCCAAGAGGAAAACCCTTCCAGCTTCTGGGCGTTGCCGGCAGGCCTTGGCATTTCTGGGGCTGTAACTTCATCACAACCCTCCTGTGTCTGTCGTGATGTGGTAGATTGCCCTCAGAGGGCTTCCGTACTTTTCTTATGAGATGTGTCATATGGACCTAGACCTACCTCCTCCTGTTTGACTTAGTTTCCACTTTACTTATAGATATTCACCTTACTTCCAAATACGTCACATTCTGAGGCACAGTGTCTTGGGACTATTTTTTTTTTGTGAAAGGCTTAATTCAATCAAGTAACAAAAGTGTTACTAGAATTTGTTCAGTTATTGTTATTTTTCAGTGATACTGGGAATTGGGACTCAGCACTTGTCTTTCCCCCTCCCCTTTTCTGACACAGGAACTCTCTCAATTGCCCAGGCTGGGCTAGAACATTTCATCCTCCAGCCTCAGCCTCCCGAGTGCTGCGATTCCAGAGACGCACCACTGTGCTGCTAGAATTTGTTCTCCAAAGATTTCTGCGTTCAGACAACTTTGGGAAGCACAGTACAGAAGTCTTCGCTGCGCTACGCGGTCTTTGCTACTACTCTGTAAGGGCCTGAGGTGCCGAGCCGGGACTATCTGCGCCGGTTTCTGAACACGTTTGGTTGCAGACTGCTTTTCCCAGCTCCGTGGTGGACCGGTGCTCAGTGTGAGGCACGGTTCTCAGGCCGGGAGGAGGCGGTGGCGCCCTGTCCCTCCCCGAGGCCATGCGTCCCCGCTTACCTGCTGTGCTTCCTTGAGAAAACTGTTCTGAGACTGCACGTCCTCATCTCTAAGACGGGAACAATAGCACACTGTTCTCTCTAGGCTTCTTGCAAGGACTAAATTAAACAAGATAGACTGAGCACAGCACAGCCCAAGACCCAAAAATAGACATTTCCTTAAAAGTAGGTAGGTATTTGTTATGCTGCCCAGATGGTTTTTAATTTCTTGGTGGTTCTTACCAAGTATTTTTAGGATCTCAAGAATAATTTCTTTTTTCTTCTTTCTTTCTTTCTTTCTTTCTTTCTTTCTTTCTTTCTTTCTTTCTTTCTTTCTTCTTTTGGTGGAACCGGGAATTGAACTCAGGCCCTTGCCCTTGCCAGGCAAGCACTTATTCTACTGAGCTATCTCCCCAACCCCTCAAGAATAATTTCTAAGCAGGACAATTTCCAATCAGGTTTTCGTATTCATTTTCTTAACCATCATTTTTCTTTTCTCTAGAATTGTTTTCTTCCTGGTAACAACACATTGAGTCTGGTGTCCATACTCTCAGCTGCTTGGGAGGCTGAGGCAGGAGGATTAAGTTGGTGAGATCCTGTCTCAAAATTAGATTTTTAAAAAAAGAGCTGGGAACTGTGTGGAGTGCTGCCTGCCTGTAACCCCAGCACTATGGGAGGCTGAGGCAGGGGGCTCACAAGGTCAAGTCCAGCCTGGCTGACTTAATGACTTAGCAAGAGCCTGTCTCAAATTAAAAACCAACAGAGAAGAAAGGTCTGGGTGTAGCTCAGTGTGTAGTCGGGGCTTCGATCTCCAGTCCAGAAGGAAAATGACCCTGATCAAATAGTGAACAGAATTGTGTTTCTAGGAGCCCCAGAATGAGCAGAGCCGAGCTGCTGGGCTCGCCAGTTCCTTATTCCGATCCCCCACCCCAGTGAGGGGAAGAGGGTGTGATCATGAGATCCGGGCGGCAGAAGGAAATTGTGAAAGAGACCTCGCTGTCAAAAGGGCAGCCCGCAGTCTCCTCCGCCCAGAGGAGCGCCACCTGAGAGGACTCGCCGGCCGGCCGCTTGTCTTCAGCGTGTCCCTCAGACATGGAGCCCAGGAAGGTCAGGGAGGGTTACCTCGTGAAGAAGGTGAGTGCCGGGGCCGCTTGCCTGGGACAGACAGCCCAGCAGAGGACCGAGGCCCAGCCTTCACTCTATCATTTTCTTTCTTTTGTTTTTTCTCATTAGGTTTATTGGTACATTTTAGATATGCATAAAGAGCACATTCGTCATGGGAAGTTTGTACCTGTACGTGACATAGTTTGATTTCTCTTTCCCGATGCCCTCTCTTCCCTTCAAGCCATCTTCCCCTTCCCTATTTACAAAATTTTGATTCCACTTTGACCTTTTATGATGGCCTTTTTCCCTTTTCCTTTCCTTCCTTTCCCCCTTTCCTCCACCCAGTTCTTCTTTCCTTTTGAATAAGTTCTTTCTATTTCATAATATCTAGTGTATATTTTGGTTCAAATTTACTCTTTCAGTTGCTCACAGCACAGAGAGGGTGTGATGTTTACACATGTGAGTCTGACTTATTTCACTCAGAGTGCGCTAAGAGTATTTCTCAAGTTGAGTATAGATCTCAAGTTGCATCCATTTACCTAGAAATTCCTCAAATGTCTCCTTCTTTATGACTGAATAGTATGCTATTATAAGCAAAAATATTCCTTATCCTTTCCTTGGTTGATGGATATGTGGATTGTTTCCACGATTTAGCTATTACAGACTGTATTGCTATACACATGAGTATGCATATGTCTCTGTGGTATGATGTTTTTAATTCTTCCAGGAAAACACACCAAAGGGGAATGGCTGGAGCAAATGGGACCTCGAATCTTAGTTTTTGAGGACTCTCCACACTGAAATCTACCCCTTTCTTCTAGGAATGTTTGGTGCAGGGCTGTTGGGTTGAAATGGGAGAATGCTGCAGAATGGAATGTTGGGGCCGGGAGTGATCGGTATGCACTCCACTGCCTTCTGTTTCTAAAAGTGAATTAATCCAGTTGAAACAGTTTTATCTAATGGGCCCAAGAATTCTAGACTACTTAATCTGGAAGGTAGGATCCCTGGTTAATCCCTGCATGATTTAGAACAGCAGTTTTAGGCACCATATATGTATTCTACAAACAAACGTACAAACTAGTGCTCCAGCTGCAGAATTAGTTAGAGAAACTGTTTGTTATTAAAATGTTCCTCCTTCAGGGTTTTTTGGGGGGTGGAGAAAGGAGAAGGAACTGTTTAAAGATGAGCTGATATGTGCTACCATAATTATAGCTTATTTCTTGGGCTGTCTTCTTAGAATTGATGGACAACAAATCTTTTTTTTTTTTTTTAATGGGCTGCAATCACTTAACACACAACTCAGCAAATTTGTGTAACAGCCTGTCAAGTTGGTAGATGTACCACGTTAAAGACTTGGAAATAGAGCCCCCAACTTACTAAAAAATGCTTAGTCTTATTAATGTGGCATCAAGAAAATTGAACATGGTGAAGGCTGTTGGTCTTTCTTCTCATGCTGGGTGTGTTCTGAGTTGTGAAACTGCCCAGCATGATGAATTCACACATAGGGCCTGTCGGCATCCTGTGGGCAGCACCTCCGTCGACAGCATGTTCACACTACACCACGGGGGCTCAGCGCTCCAGAGATGCACTGGGTCCAGCGCGTTCCTTCAGGGACCAAGCTTTTAACTTCATTGTCACCTCATATAATTCTGCCTTAGGGAATTCATTTGTTGCCCTTTCTAGCCTAAAAGGTCCTACTTTGAAGAGGGTTAAATGGCGTCCTCTCTCAAATCCTCTACCTCTATTTTATTTTATTTTGTGGAACTGGGGATTGAGCTCAGGCCCTTGTGCTTGCCAGGGAAACGCTTATTTTACTGAGTCTCCACATCCCCTTCTATCTCTCTTTTAATTTTAGACTGGAAAGGACCTTTGGCCATTTGTCCTAATGGCTCATTTGAGATCTTGGATCTTAGAGCAAGCTGAGAACCAACCTCACATGACTGACTGTGACAGAGTTGGGCCCAAAAGACACTTTCTGACTCCTGGGTTTCTAACTCATGGCACTGAGCTCTGTTCATACCCAGGATTTTCCTAAAGCAAACTCACTCTGAGGCAATGTTGGCAGCGTTTGCAATGGTGGAGTTATGTCCACTTAGCTGGTGTTCTGTGTGACCAGCTGTAGTTTGAAATGTGCTTTAGAAAAGACACACATTCACACACAGAAGTGTATGTAAGTTCCTTGCAAGAGGCAGAAATACCCACTAAGGGAACCAATAATAATTAACGTCGACTGATTTCAGGCTCTTATCTGTAAAAACAAGTGAGTGGAAATGTTTTCTGCGAAGCTTTTCTTATTTTTATTTTTTAGACATCTAGAAACATTTTGCAATAAAATTGCTGTTATGAAGTTGTAGACTTATATTATAAATTCCCCAACTACAAAAATATAGGATATTAAATCTATAATAAGGGATGTGCTTCACCAGAAAATAGAAATGATAGAGTTGTCAAGGGTAGGGATTTAAATTAATAAAAAGTTTCTAATGGAAGCAATTCTTTCAGATTATGCCCCATGAATACCAATGTAGATGTGCCTAGAAAACACAGTAAAATTTCATATTGAAATTCCCACAAATTGTATCTTCCATAAGTTTTATGTTTATAGTATACATTCTTTTATTATTTGCATTTTTGTCTGGGACCACTTGAAATTCTCTGTTGTAAGAGTTTCAATTTTGGTATTTTGTTTTTGAATGATTTTTTTTTCACTGCTGTAGATCAAATTTAGGGGCTTGCACATGGTAGGCAAGACCTGTGCCACTGGGCTAAACTGGCTAAAATGCCAGTCCTCTAATGTGGCTTTTAATTAATTAATTTATTTAATTTTGTATTTAAGTACAGGCTCTACAGGGTCTCACTACATAGACTTATAGTGATCCACCTGTTTTCAGCCTTCCAAGAGCTGGGATTACAGGCTCGTGCCACCACGCACAGTCTCAATCACCATCTCAGTGCACCCTGTGGGTGGGGCCGGCACGGCAGGCCAGGTATCGAACCCTGGCCCCTGGGTCTGCCTAAGCAGACGCTTTAATCTGCTGAGCTATTTGGCCAGCCATTATAATGTGACAGTTTAAATGACTTTCTTCCAGAAATATTCTTTGAGTGTTGAAGCTAAAAATCTTTGAGCTCTTACTACAAGCTAGCCACTGTGCTAAGCCCTTCAAATATATAATCTCCTTTGATCTTTATAAGGGGAAGTAGTGCATACTTTATCTTCATTTTACAGTGAGAACACAAGTGGTTAGAAAAATTTAGTAATTTGTGATTTGTCAAAGTAGAACCTAGCAGAGGCAAAGTTGAAGTGTGAACTGAAAGTTAAAATGCCAGAAATCATGCTAGCACACTGTGCCATTTCTGTATTGGTTATTTAAGGTGCTTCAGTGGAAAAATATCTGACTTGGAAGAGTTTATGTATTTAAAAGCTTTCTATTAAATAGACTAATGTTCTTCCTTCCAAAGAGGCATAAGACAGCCATTTGCTTGGGGTGCTACACAAATAGGAAGGTACGTGATACAATGTACCACCCAGTGGGAGGTGGGGCTTAACCTAAGCAGCACCCATTTCAGATAAATGTCCCACCAGTGTGGGAAAATAGGTACTAATAACTCCCAGTTCTGCTTCAATGACATAGCTGCGTTCATAATGAGATTTTCCTTTGAATTCCAGCCATATGTCAGCCTATGTAAAGAGAAGTTCCTGAGAAAGGGGAAGTCAAAGAGGTGTCTTTACTCTTTGGGAGGGGTGATAACACAAACAAACTCCAGTTGCCCCCATTCTTGGCCGTCAGTTATGGCTTCTCTCAGCAAAGCTGAACATATACAGGAAAGCACCTTTATTTTGGGCCTCTGTCACACTGTCCTCAGATGATGGACTCTGAGCCCACAGGCTGGATCTCATTCATTTTCTTCTGCTCTCAGTATCCAGCTCGTGTCTGAAGCCTAGAAACTGCTCTCACAATCGTTCGTTATCACAAAGTTTGAACAATTAGAAAAAGAGGATCATTTCAGATAGCATATACGTTTTAATTAAGCCATATAAACAGGCTCCTAAGATTTATTACCATTGTTTTTTTTTTTTTTTTTTTTTTTTGGCTTGAAGGCGAGGCCCAAAGGTTGGCAGAAAATGTAAAACTAAAGGGACATAGAGTTTCTTCGAGGCTGATGCATAAGATCTCAGGGTAGAGATGGATGCTGTGTGTTTCATCCAACTTCTCATGTGTGGCTCCCCAACCCCATACTGGAGATTAAACTCAGGGCTTTCACACTGACATTCCTATCCCTTTTTATATTCTTTTTAAATTTTGAGATGGGCATGCCATGCCATTCAACTGTCCAGCTGGGCTCAAAGAGCATGCATTGCTTGAATTAACCTATTGTCAAGTATTCTTGGATACTCTCTTGTCAGGGAATTCATTATTTTCCTCTGAATTATGCAGAAAACTTTTTCTCAAAAACCTCTATCTCGCAAGGCTTTCAAACAATCTAGGCAGCACAACTTTGAAGACAATTCTGAGCTGCTCCTCTGTTCCTTTTTGGGCTAACCCCTGCCAATTCTTTCAGTAATTTCAGGAGAGATGGTGCCACCTTGACATTCTCTTTTGAACAGGCTCCAGGTTGTCTGCAGCTTTGAGGGTCCCTGGACTCAGTGTCATTCTCCAGGGCATCTGAGATGCATAGACTTATAGGAAATCAGTATTTAAAGAGTACTTACAAATTGCTACCTTTTGATTTCAGCAAATCTACATGGACAGTTTTATTTAATTTCCCCTCAATTTTAAAATCATGATTAACAACATTGTTGCTTGTCAGACATTAGTAAATGAGGTTTAAATTTTTTTTAAACAATACAAAATAGTGAAAAAAAAAAGCATTAGAGATGTCATAAAATTTCATTAAACGAAGTAATAGGAATTCAGCCATGGTTGCTGTATTATGTGATATTCAAATTAGTTGTTTAGGTTACCAGATAGAAACCTGCAAAATTAGCTAAAAAAAAAAAGTTATAAGAAATTTAAAGAGGGGGCCTGCCC